GGTGGCCGGGAGTGGCCACTGCACTCCAGTCTGGGCGACCGAGTGAGACTCCAACTCAAATAAATAAATAAATAAGTAAGTAAATAAATAAATAAATAAATAAATAAAAATATATAAATAAAATTGTAAGCCAGTTTTTCCTCCTACTTGAGAAAATATTCAAAATAAACACTACCTCATATTTAAGACAAATACTAATTTGTCACTTTTCAATCAATAATATAAGGTGACAATTTTTTCATAAACTTTTAATGGAATATTATTATTAATAATTTTAAAACAATAAATCCTTTTCCAATAGGCTCCAAATTATTTTACTGCACTGGAACTTTGCTGAAGCAAATTTGGGTGTTTTTTTTGAGTCGGAGTCTCACTCTGTCACCCTGACTGGAGTGCAGTGCTACCACAGCCTCCACCTGCTGGGCTCAGGTGATCCTTCTGTCTCAGCCTACCAAGTAGTTGGGACTACAGGTGCGCACCACAACACCGAGCTAATTTTTTATGTATTGTAGAGATGAGGTCTCGTGACATTGCTCAGGATGGTCTCAAATTCCCAGGCTCAGGCAATCCTCTTGCCTCAGTCTCCCAAATACTGGGATTACAAGCGTGTGCCATTGTGCCTGGCCTGCTGATACAAATTTTATTTAAAGTGACTAGGCCATTTTTGTCATCATAGATAAATAATCAAGTTAAAATAAATAAAGCCAAAGCAAATATTCAATGAATTCTCATATGTGTGAAGCAGCGTAGATTAGAAAAATATATATCCCATCAAAAAGATACAATCTAATTGGGAAACAGGACAAACTCATGAATTATAAACAATTAATATTTTTTCATTCCCCCAGAATGATCTAAAATGCAAAACTAACTTCTGCAATTTTCAATTTAAAACTCTTCCATGACTGTTCACTGCCTAGTAAGTACAGAATCCTTAGACAGCCAGACAAGACTCCCCACAATTAGATTTCATGTCTCATCTCTCACAACTCCAAACCATGCACTCCTAACAATACACAACTACTTGAAACATCCCCAAACAGAACACACACCACTTTAAATCCCCATGCCTTTGCTCAAGCCCACTTTTTGCCTTTACTCCATTCCCTTTCTCTCTCAATCATTCTTCAAAATTCTGATAAGTGGCACATTCTCCATGACATGCTTACCCACTCCCAACTCCTAGGCTGGTCAGATTCCTTCCTCTGAACTCATATAATATACAGCATCCTGTGCCTACCTTTATTATAACACTTGCCACACTGTATTTTATTCTGTTTACCTGCACATTTCCCCCCACTGTACTATAAACTTCTGAAGCACAAGATTTTGTCTATTCATCTTTCTATCCCCAGCTTGGGATACAAGGATATTCTGAATAAATGTTTGTTGAAATAAAGGTCAACGTCACAAAGTTGCATAAAACTAATCTTTAAATTATCTGAGGTAAAGAATAGCACACTGACAACCCCAAGTTAGTGAAGTATAAGCAATTGTTTCAAGTGTCACTGGCATGTCACTTCTATTTATCCTGGCATTGGCAACGTGTCCCACACACTGCACATACAAGCAACACAGCAGCTACTTAAGCTGTTTTCAGTTAATTCTGAAACCAAATCACCACAGTACATATGTTTACAAGGCTGTAGATTACTGCTTCTCTATAAAATCACACAATCAGGTATTACTGATTACTAATTACTGAGATGCAGCCACTTTTGACATTTGAGGTTAAAAAGATGAACAATCCATTAATTTTTTCCATTTCAGAATTCTCACTGGGATAAATGGAATCAAAAGGTGACAAAATTTTTTCTTTCTTCTAAAGGAGGTCAGAATTCCACACGCCTTATCCATCTCAGAAAAGCATTTTAAATTCTATTTATTTATTCATTTACTTATTTAAGAGATACAGGGTCTAGGTTGGAGTGCAGTGGTTGCTCACTGCAGCCTGAATTCCTAGGTTCAAGGGATCCTCCCACCCCAGCCTCCGGCAAAGCTGAAACTACAGACACGTACCACCACTCCTGGCTAGTAACATTACCCATTCTTAAAAGGAGGACAAATAGAAGTTATTTTGTTTTTGAACTTCCTTTAAAATTACCAGTTAAAAACAACATTTAATAGCTACTATTTAAATTTTAATTATGGCAATGAAAAAGCAACAAAAAGATTCAGTGGCCAAACTTAGTGTCATCTTTACCAGGTTCACGGAATCTTAGGGTTTAAAGAGGTCTTAAAAGGTTATCCAGGATCACCAACCATTTGATAGCTGGATCTCCCCTAACACCATTAAGTGGCTATCTGATCCATTCCAACACTGCTAGTGCCTGGGGAGCCAGCTCATCACCTTCTGAGGCTAACCATCTTGGATACCTTCACTGAAATGTGTTTCCCTGTAGCTTGTACCAACTGACCCTAGCTCTATCCCACGGAGCCTTACAAAATCAAGCCTAATCCCTACGACAAAACACAGACGTTCACATGGCTGATGAATATTACTACCCTCAAAGTCTTGAGGCTTCTGGTTCCTTTTCCGAGAATGGGCTGCACGCAGAACTCCTAGTGTTAACTGATCAGAAGCCGGAGGTGCCAGGCCCTCACGGGGAATATTATCTCACATCTATACGCCTCATTTGTTAGAGAGGGCGAGAGCATTTGTTGGTATAGACAAGAGTCAGGCAGCTCAACATGGGGAATACAGGCCACCGAGGTTACCGGCTCTGGGCCCCCTGAAGAAATCACGTATTAGTCTAGGATGACTCATTTCTCATTTCCTAAACAGACGACACAGGGCGAAACGCAAAAGATCATAAGGAACTCGGAGGTCAACTGACGCTTCTCCTCCCCAGCACTGGGGAAGCTGTTGAAAAAGCCAAAGCCCACTCCCACATCCCACCCGCCCGGGGCACAAACGTGCGGGACGGAGAGAGAGACCGAATTTAAAATTAAAATCTAATGCTTTTCGGACGTGCGCTTCGGCCAGGGTGGAGGGGAGTCTCGGTCCCCCTTTTCAGGCCTGCGAAGGAAAACACTAGCACGGTGAAAGCAGTTCCCCCTACAGAGCCGACTGCTGGGGTGGGAGAGACGAGCAAGGCCTCAGATTCTCACCTTCACATTTCTGCTCCACAAAGTCCAAGATGGGGATGGACCAGTCCGGGCCTCGCAGGAACCCCGCGATGCTCTCCACCACCCATTCCACCTCGTCCTCTTCTTCCGTAGCCATGCCGCCCCGCGAGGCAGCGCGGACGCTAGGCCAGACCCCCGGAGGCTGCTAAGGCCTTCGGCCCCAGGAAGCCGAGAAGGAGTGGGGGAAAGCTGCCCCGCAGTCTCCCAGCCGCTGGGATAAAAGCCACAAGCCGGTTAACGGAAAAATGGTCGCTATGACAACATACGTAGCCACCCCAGGCGGCGGCCCGGAAGTGAAGCCGGCTACCCTGAGAGTGGGGGAAAGCCGCCCCGCAGTCTCCCAGCAGCTGGGATAAAAGCTACAAACCGGTTAACGTAAAAAATGGTCGCTATGACAACAGGCGGCGGCCCGGAAGTGAAGCCGGCTACCCTGGAGCCTGCGCACCTCATGGTGGGCGGGGTGTGTGTGGGGGGGGGTGAGACACACACATACATAGTGGAGGGGTGGACACACACACACACACAGTGGGGGGGTGGACACAGGACACGCACACACACACACTCTCTTAAAAAGCGTTTCTGATTGGGGATGGACACAGGACACACATACACACACACGCACCCTCTTAAAAAACATTTCTGATTGGGGGGGACACAGGACACACATACACATACACACACACACACACACACACACACACACACACACACCCTCTTAAAAAACGTTTCTGATTGGGGGGGTGGACACAGGACACACACACACACACCCGCTTAAAAAACGTTTCACACATACACACCCTCTCAGGACACACACACACACACACACACACACACACACACACACACACACACACACACACACACACACACACACACACACACACACACACACCCTCTTAAAAAACGTTTCTGATTGGCTGGAACAGAACACCAGCCAATAGCCCTTTACTTATTCTGATTGGCTGGAAAAGAACACCAGACACACACACACACACACACACACACACACACACACACC